AACATAGGCTGACAAAGTTTTTTATATTCAAAAATATTGACCATAGATTAAATTTTTCTAGAAGGTTTATCAAACCATGCCTAAGTCATAAGATCAGTTTTCTTCTTCAGTTTTCTTGTTTTGAAGTGATCATTTTGACATCTTTTAAGAATTCGATGCTGGATTCTTGAATCCAAAACCTATGTTGTGATTTCAAGTCACACGCTGTTTTCTACCATATCTTTTTAAACGTAGTTTAACCATATTTTTTTTTAATAAATATTTATGGTAACCTTCAGGTTATCACCATTTCCGTGCCAATATATGTACTACTTTTCTTCAGGTTATATTTCATGCGTTTTTAAGTACTATACTATAAAAATTGTTGAAATAGGAAATTCTTATATCTTATATGATGCGAATATAAATTTTTATTTGCAATTTAAGTAGTATGATGCTGATGCTCTGATGCTGATGCTGATGCTGATACTCTGATGCTGATGCTGATGCTGATGCTGATGCTCTGATGCTCATGCTCATGCTCATGCTCATGCTGATGCTGATGCCAATGCTGATGCTCTGATGCTCATGCTGATGCTGATGCTGATGGTGATGCTGATGCTGATGCTCTGATGCTGATGCTAATGCTGAGGGTGAGGGATGCCAGTTGTGAAAGCTGGTGCTGGGTTAGCAAATAATTGCTTTTGTCCCGTCGTTGCCATCTCAAGCAACCCCTCTTGCACCCATCCTCGTCGTGACCTCTGAGTTGACTCACAATTTGCCTCCTATTTCCGCTCCCTCCCCCTCCGCACAGCCTGTTCTTCGACCCGCACCGCCACATGCTGTTTGACTATGTGGGCGGCACCCATGCTCTGTGACCTTTGGGTTGACTCACAAGTGACCTCAAGCGCGCCCGTCTCACCCCCTCCCGCTCCATGCAGCCTGTTCTTCGACCCGCATCGCCACATGCTGTTTGACTATGTGGGCGGCACCCGGGACCTCTACAAACAGACCGTCAGTGCCCTTGCTTGCACGAGGAATGCATGTCATTCTGTTGGAGGCCTTGCCTTTGGAAGAAGCACGTGTGATTCTTCAGCCATGAGACGTGTCAAACCACGCCTGTGGAAGAAGCACGTGTGATTCTTCAGCCATGAGACGTGTCAAACCACGCCTGTGGAAGAAGCACGTGTGATTCTTCAGCCATGAGACGTGTCAAACCACGCCTGTGGAAGAAGCACGTGTGATTCTTCAGCCATGAGACGTGTCAAACCACGCCTGTGGAAGAAGCACGTGTGATTCTTCAGCCATGAGACGTGTCAAACCACGCCTGTGGAAGAAGCACGTGTGATTCTCTCTGCTTGGCACCTTCTCCGTTGCTCCGCCCACTTGCCTTGCCGCTCTGCTGTGCTCCTCTCCAGCTTGAGATGCACTTTCTCTTGCTCTGTTTCTGTATAGCCTTTCTCTGTGCTCGTCTGTCCGGCCACCATCAGGTGCGAGTCATTGGCGACACGCGAGCCAGCTTCCAGGAGGACCCTGGTGAGTTGCACTCAAGTCAAGTCAAGCCAAGTCAAGTCAAGCCAAGTCAAGGTCGGCCTAGTGGTCTCTCTTGTCTTATATTCCTGCTCTGCGTTGTTTTCCTGAAATCAGGGCAGAGTAAAGAACCTGCAGGACTTGAATGGTCTCCTGAACAACCTGCCTGTCCCCTCCCCTTCCCCCGCTTTTGACCACATCCACCAGCGCGGTCCTGAACACCCTCCTGAGCAGCCTCCTTCCCTCCCCCCCACCTCCCTGTCATTGCACTGCGCCCACCAGCGCGGTGTGTGAGGGCCATTCGCCTGGCAGCGCGCCTGGGCTTCCGTCTGAGCACAGGGGTGACTCGGGCTCTCAAGGCGCCCTCCACCCTGCCCGCTGTCGCCACTCTACCTCAGGTGCTGCCACGCTCAATCAGGTGCTGCCACGTGCTCTCTGCAATCGTTCTCGTGCATCACCTGGTTCGTCCATGTCTCTCCTCTTCTTGCTCACGTTTCCCGTTCTCTTGCAGCTTGATCCCGCTTGCCACTTTCATGATCACACGTCATGTCTCACCCTCTTCCTCCATTCCTCCTCCCCTTCTCTCTGTCGTCTCCTCCTCTCCTGCTCATCACAGTCTCGTATGCAAATGGAGCTGGTGCAGATGATGTCTCACGGCGCATCTGAGCCATCCATTCGCTTGCTCTGGCAGTTCAACCTGCTCCCTCTGCTGCTGCCGTTACAGGTAAGTGCTGCACGCTACTGCCTGGTCTCCTGCCTGCACCAGATACTACCTCCATTGGAGTTAGTCCCTTCCCCCCTCCTGCTCCTCCCAACCCCGCTTCTCCCGTGCCTCTCCTTATCCCCTTTCTCCCCCCTCGCTTCCCACTCGCACCAGGCGCAGTACCTGCGGGGGAAGAAGTTTTCTCAGAAGGCATTGACAGACCGACCTGACCTCATGTTTGTGAGTCACTCACCAACCAGCTGCCCGTGTGCTTATGCAACTTGGCCTGACTTACAGTCAGCCATTTTACAGCTCTCACCCCTCTCGAGTATTGTCCTGCTATCTGGTGCCACCATCCCTTGCTGTCACCGATACCCTTCCATCCTTCCCTGACCCTCCGATCACCCGAGGGTGATCGGAGGGTCAGGGAAGGATGGAAGGGTATCGGTGACAGCAAGGGATGGTGGCACCAGATAGCAGGACAATACTCGAGAGGGGTGAGAGCTGTAAAATGGCTGACTGTAAGTCAGGCCAAGTTGCATAAGCACACGGGCAGCTGGTTGGTGAGTGACTCACAAACATGAGGTCAGGTCGGTCTGTCAATGCCTTCTGAGAAAACTTCTTCCCCCGCAGGTACTGCGCCTGGTGCGAGTGGGAAGCGAGGGGGGAGAAAGGGGATAAGGAGAGGCACGGGAGAAGCGGGGTTGGGAGGAGCAGGAGGGGGGAAGGGACTAACTCCAATGGAGGTAGTATCTGGTGCAGGCAGGAGACCAGGCAGTAGCGTGCAGCACTTACCTGTAACGGCAGCAGCAGAGGGAGCAGGTTGAACTGCCAGAGCAAGCGAATGGATGGCTCAGATGCGCCGTGAGACATCATCTGCACCAGCTCCATTTGCATACGAGACTGTGATGAGCAGGAGAGGAGGAGACGACAGAGAGAAGGGGAGGAGGAATGGAGGAAGAGGGTGAGACATGACGTGTGATCATGAAAGTGGCAAGCGGGATCAAGCTGCAAGAGAACGGGAAACGTGAGCAAGAAGAGGAGAGACATGGACGAACCAGGTGATGCACGAGAACGATTGCAGAGAGCACGTGGCAGCACCTGATTGAGCGTGGCAGCACCTGAGGTAGAGTGGCGACAGCGGGCAGGGTGGAGGGCGCCTTGAGAGCCCGAGTCACCCCTGTGCTCAGACGGAAGCCCAGGCGCGCTGCCAGGCGAATGGCCCTCACACACCGCGCTGGTGGGCGCAGTGCAATGACAGGGAGGTGGGGGGGAGGGAAGGAGGCTGCTCAGGAGGGTGTTCAGGACCGCGCTGGTGGATGTGGTCAAAAGCGGGGGAAGGGGAGGGGACAGGCAGGTTGTTCAGGAGACCATTCAAGTCCTGCAGGTTCTTTACTCTGCCCTGATTTCAGGAAAACAACGCAGAGCAGGAATATAAGACAAGAGAGACCACTAGGCCGACCTTGACTTGGCTTGACTTGACTTGGCTTGACTTGACTTGAGTGCAACTCACCAGGGTCCTCCTGGAAGCTGGCTCGCGTGTCGCCAATGACTCGCACCTGATGGTGGCCGGACAGACGAGCACAGAGAAAGGCTATACAGAAACAGAGCAAGAGAAAGTGCATCTCAAGCTGGAGAGGAGCACAGCAGAGCGGCAAGGCAAGTGGGCGGAGCAACGGAGAAGGTGCCAAGCAGAGAGAATCACACGTGCTTCTTCCACAGGCGTGGTTTGACACGTCTCATGGCTGAAGAATCACACGTGCTTCTTCCACAGGCGTGGTTTGACACGTCTCATGGCTGAAGAATCACACGTGCTTCTTCCACAGGCGTGGTTTGACACGTCTCATGGCTGAAGAATCACACGTGCTTCTTCCACAGGCGTGGTTTGACACGTCTCATGGCTGAAGAATCACACGTGCTTCTTCCACAGGCGTGGTTTGACACGTCTCATGGCTGAAGAATCACACGTGCTTCTTCCAAAGGCAAGGCCTCCAACAGAATGACATGCATTCCTCGTGCAAGCAAGGGCACTGACGGTCTGTTTGTAGAGGTCCCGGGTGCCGCCCACATAGTCAAACAGCATGTGGCGATGCGGGTCGAAGAACAGGCTGCATGGAGCGGGAGGGGGTGAGACGGGCGCGCTTGAGGTCACTTGTGAGTCAACCCAAAGGTCACAGAGCATGGGTGCCGCCCACATAGTCAAACAGCATGTGGCGGTGCGGGTCGAAGAACAGGCTGTGCGGAGGGGGAGGGAGCGGAAATAGGAGGCAAATTGTGAGTCAACTCAGAGGTCACGACGAGGATGGGTGCAAGAGGGGTTGCTTGAGATGGCAACGACGGGACAAAAGCAATTATTTGCTAACCCAGCACCAGCTTTCACAACTGGCATCCCTCACCCTCAGCATTAGCATCAGCATCAGAGCATCAGCATCAGCATCACCATCAGCATCAGCATCAGCATGAGCATCAGAGCATCAGCATTGGCATCAGCATCAGCATGAGCATGAGCATGAGCATGAGCATCAGAGCATCAGCATCAGCATCAGCATCAGCATCAGAGTATCAGCATCAGCATCAGCATCAGAGCATCAGCATCATACTACTTAAATTGCAAATAAAAATTTATATTCGCATCATATAAGATATAAGAATTTCCTATTTCAACAATTTTTATAGTATAGTACTTAAAAACGCATGAAATATAACCTGAAGAAAAGTAGTACATATATTGGCACGGAAATGGTGATAACCTGAAGGTTACCATAAATATTTATTAAAAAAAATATGGTTAAACTACGTTTAAAAAGATATGGTAGAAAACAGCGTGTGACTTGAAATCACAACATAGGTTTTGGATTCAAGAATCCAGCATCGAATTCTTAAAAGATGTCAAAATGATCACTTCAAAACAAGAAAACTGAAGAAGAAAACTGATCTTATGACTTAGGCATGGTTTGATAAACCTTCTAGAAAAATTTAATCTATGGTCAATATTTTTGAATATAAAAAACTTTGTCAGCCTATGTTTTAACGAGAAAAAAAAAAAAAAAAAAA